CCTGAGCATCCAGCTGCTGCTCGGAGTGGCCGCAGAGACGGCGAGGCCCGAGGGCGAAGCGCTCGAGGCGCCGGTGCTGTCGGTTCTCAAGCGCGGCATCGAGCCGATCTGCGGGGGTGCGACGTCGGTCGCTGCTGCCAAGAAGCTCAATACGCAGTTTTTGGAAACCCACGGCGACTCGATGCCGCATCGCCTTGCGGCCGCGCAGGCCGCCCTGCTGATTGCGCCTGGCGATGTTGCGGGTGCTGCCGCGCTGCTCAAGGGCATCGGCAAGTCGACTGGTACCAAGGCCTTTACGCTCGCGGTAAGCCTCGTATGGTGTGCGCAGCCAGCCGCGCGATGCTGACGCGACGCGCTTGCAGACCGCGGTCCGAGTCCACAAGGCCCTGAGGCTCAACTTCAAGGACGAGAACGCGGCCGAGATGTTCAAGAAGGTTGCCGCAGCCAAGTTCCCTGTTTCGACCTACTTCCATTGAGATCCGCCGGAGGAGGGGAAGTGCGGCCGTGCGCGCGCGCGCTCGCGCTCGAATGAAAGCATGCCGATGTGAATGTTGCGCGGTTGGGCGTGTGTTGCGCGGTGGATTCGCCGAATCTGATCCTTGCTGGCATTCGACCAAGGTGCGGCGGCCGCCCGGCGTGCCTGGCTGCGCGCCCCACGTCGCACGCCGCAGCGGGGGGAGGGCTTCGCGCGCACCTCTGCCTTCGCAGACACGGCCCTCGTGCATGGCGTGCGCGCTCACGGTGCTGACGCACTCGCTGTCGCCAGGAGCCGCTGCGAGATATGTTCCGCAACACCTTCCAGGTCTGTCGCGCGCGCAGATGCAGAAGCTGCGATACACGCAGAGAGCCGCCGCCTCGCCTGCCGGAGCGAGCATGCCGCCGCGCTCCGCGGAGGCGCCGGGCCGCGGTCGCTGCTGCCGGCCCTCGTGTCAGCGAGCCTTGCGCGCTCAGGCCACATCCGCCGCCAAGCCGGCCGCGGCGAGCCTCGAGGCGGCGCGATTGTAGCTTACCGATCCTTGCTCGTGCCACCTCTTCTGCCGCGGCGCTGTTCGCCCGCATACGCGCTCACCTGCAGTCGGGATTTCTCTCGATCCTTTACAGCATCGGGTGGGTTGCCCCCCCCCCCCAAAGTCGCACATCAGAGATGGCCTGTGCTGACAACAGACGCTCGGTGCGCCGGCCGCCCGGGATGCAGCTCCAAGCCGCTGCAGATATGGGACAAGAAAGTGCGCAACGGCCATATCAAGCGCATCACGGACAACGACATCCAGTCGTCTGTGTTGGAGATTATTGGCACCAACGTCTCGACCAACTACATCACGTGCCCGGCGCAGCAGAACCGCACGCTCGGCATCAAGCTGCCCTTCCTCGTGATGATCATCAAGAACCTCAAAAAGTACTTTACGTTTGAGGTCCAGGTGCTCGACGACAAGAACGTGCGGCGCCGCTTCCGTGCATCCAACTATCAGGTGCGCCGAGGCTGGTACATGCGTGGGGTTGTCGCCAGCTCTTGCTCACGCGGTGATTATCCAGTCGACGACGCGGGTCAAGCCCTTTATCTGCACAATGCCAATGCGCCTCGACGACGGATGGAACCAAATTCAATTCAACTTGAGCGACTTCACCCGCCGCGCCTACGGCACAAACTACATTGAGACACTGCGCGTGCAGATCCATGCCAACTGCCGCATCCGCCGCATCTACTTTTCGGACCGCCTTTACTCGGAGGAGGAGCTGCCGCCCGAGTTCAAGCTTTTCCTGCCGATCCAGAAGCAGAACTGATCCCCAGAAAGTTTTGTTGGCTGGTGTGCGCATTATTCTCGACTGCCATGCACGAGGAAGAGCACGATTCGTTTTGCCAGGGGAATGAAGGAGTCATTCCGAGTTTTCATTATCTGCACAGATTTGAATTTATTTGAAATTCGTTTCGACAATACCGCCGTGCGCGGCACGCGGCTGCTCAGGGATGAGTGTAGCCGACAGCCGACAGCCAATGCTCTTCTCGAGTGAGGCGTAGCCAGTACACATAGGCACTCGGCGCCGCGTTTGTTTCTTGCTCTTCAATGAACGCAGCTTGCCACCCCAAAAACTCCGCTTCCGGCGAGCCGAGATGTGCGTCTCGGGGCCAGTCCAAACGGATGTGCGCATGCTGTCCGTGTGGGCGGCCTTGCGGCGGTGCTGGTTGCTGCGAGTCAGATCTGGGCGATGCAGCGAGTCCGAGCCGGACTGCATGCAGCCGTGTGGGCACGGTGGGTCGACGGGCAGTGCGGGCTGCTCTCGCCGATGGATCTGGCCGCCGATATGACAAGCACCCGGTCGGATGCGAGAAGCGCACGCCGATCAAGCTGATCTGCCACAACCCGCAGGTGCACAACCCTTGCCGCACACGCAAGTGGTGCTTGTCTCGCCGCGTCAGGCAGCAGCGCCGCAACAACCACGCCCGTCAGGCGACCAGACCTGCCAGTCTCCTCCAAGGACGGGTCTGCGCAAGTTTGTGCTCGCCCGCACTCTCGCCACGTCGAGCCGCAACGACTCGGCCGACCGATACGCCGCAACCGGCTCCATCCACACCGCCGGCTTCGTCCACGACCCGATGTTTGACCAGCCGCGCTCGCTTACACAAGGCACCAAGCGCGGCTTTGGCACGTTCACAAGGAGCGACAACTCGGGGGCAGCCGTGCCCGGCCTCATCCAGATCTGTTGCGCGCTCTGGCAGCGGCGCTGTTCACACTGCCACTCGGCACCGCGACGTCAGAGTCAGCACGACGAGAGAGGGGGCATCGGTCGACAGCCCGTCGCCACGCTGAGCACGGCGCCGCCTACCTCGGGCACAGGGCGGTCACCACAACAAACAACCGTGTGGCCATTGGCGGTCGTGCTGGCGAAGCCATGGTTGCACTGCCGGCGTCAGAGACAATCCCTGTTTCCCCCACAAACTGCAAGCCGATGGAGCCGCCGACGCTGGCGAGCCAGCCGACGGAGCTGCTGCTCCAGGTGTGCATGGAAGTTGCCCGCGCCAGCCCGCTGTCGGTGCCGCGGCTGTCTGCGGCGTGCCGGCGGCTGCGTGCGCTGCTCGCCTCGCCGCGCACGCACGGGTCTGGCGCACGGCGGCGCTCGTGCTCGACAGCCGCGGCAGCAACAGGCTGCTCGTTCGGCAGGGGCCTCGCACGTCCGCGGCCTTCCGCCAGGGCGTGTTCCTCAAGGGCTTCGTCAACATGGAGGACGTCGAGGCCGCGGACTACTGCGACCTGGTGTACGAGTCCGACGACGACGACCCGCGGCCGCTCGGCGTCGCCCGGCCCTGCAAGCTGCTCGAGGCGGCGGCGACGCCGACGTCGTGCGCATGCTGCTGCGCGGCGGCGTGGCCGGGCTGGCCGCCAAGGGCAGGGCGCTCGTCAAGGCGCTGCGCCTGGGCAACACCGCGGCTGCGCAGGTGCTGGTTGCGGCCGGCGCGCCGCTGGACCGCAGGCTGCGTGGCGGCCTCCCGCTGCTGCACCACTTTGCCCTGCACGGCAACGAGAAGGCGCTGCAGCTGCTGCTGCCGCTGGCCGTCGCCGGCGACGACGACCCGCGGCCGATCCTGCGGCGGCGCGGCGGCAGGCGCAACCGCCGCGACCGCCGCACGCTGTGGATCAACGAGCGCGATGCCAGTGGCCGCACGGTGCTCGACATCGCGCACTCAACCATGGTGCTCTTTGGCGGGCTGCACCACGAGGTCCACGAGCTGCTCCGCCGCGGCGCAGCGACGAGCCGGCCCGGCCACCGCCTGTTCGTCGCCTTGAACCTGAGGAGCCTGGAGCTCGTCAAGGCCGAGAGCCGCAAGGCCGACGTCAACGGCATCGCCAACGCCATCGGACACCGCCCGATCCACGTTTCGGTCCAACTCGACTCGCTCATGATGTCTCGCGCGCTGATTGACGCCGGCGCCGACGTCGACGCCGCCCCAGAGGGCACCTGGATGCACTGGAACTCTTGGGAGCGCAGGCAGCCAGACTACCCCGTGACGATTGCGGCGCTGCCCGCGGACGAGCAGCAGGCAATCAGGAGCTTCGACCGGCGCGGGGTGGCCGTGGCGATTGCCGTCGAGAACTGCGACGGCGACCTGCTGGAGCTGCTGCTGAGCAGCGGCGCGGCGCCGTCGACATACTCGGCGGCAGCCAAGACGTACATCCTTGGCCGGGCCGTCAGTGCGCTTGGCGGCTTTGCATTCGATCGCTCTGTGCCGCTCCTCCAAACGGTGCTCGACGCAGGCTGCCTGCCCGATCCCGCCGAGCCTGTGCTGTTCCAGGCAGCTTCTGATCTGAAGCGCGCGTGGCTCTCTGCGAACCAGCCTGCGGTCGCAGTGTCGGTTCTGACCAAGCTGCGCGATGCCGGCGCGTCGGTTGCACCTCCAGAGCCAGATGCGGCGGCGTATCTCACAATGGTCGCGAGATATGCGCGAAGGCTTCCTGAGGCGGCGATCGAGGCCCTCGTGCAGCTCGGCGTCGAAAAAGATCTGCTCTTGCACAACCTGGCTCAATAGATTCAACTGGCACTCATGTAGTCGATGGCATGCCGTGTGCGCATCTGTTGTGCGTGGCTGGATCGCCTGGCTCGGCTGTGAATGGGCATGAAGCAGGCTGGTGGTTGATCCGTCCCGCCTTGCTCGTGAGACGGGGCCGTGTCTTTGCTTCTCACTGCCGCCGCTGCGGGCAAAAACGGAGATGTTTGGTTTGCCTCCTGTCGTCTGGTCTTGGCGACTGCACGGCTGTGGTGAATGTGAGGTGCCTGGACAACCTGCAGCCACAAATCTGATGTGAATCTCATCATCTGCTGCCGCTGCTGCCGCCAATGTGCGCAAAATACACACAGAATGTTTCATAGACGTTTTGGTTGTGACTGAGGCACATCTGGGTGCCACAGGGCAAGGCAGTGTCGCACCAAATGGCAAACCAGCGACGATGGCAGTGCAGTTGTAAGCCGCAGGATAGTGTACTTTGGGCGGTTTTTTGTGGCAAGTTGGTTTCATAGTGTAGTCGGTTATCACATCTGTCTAACACACAGAAGGTCTCCGGTTCGAGCCCGGATGAAACCACTTTTGCCGACTGCTCGAAACCTGAGGATGCGTGCGAGA